CTGTCCGCGTTCTGTTCTGGTACGTGTGCGAAAAAAGGACTGTTCTGAATTGAATCTGTTCGATTTTAGGTCTGTTCGATTTTGAAAACGTTCGAATTCGTCGTACCCCCTTTGGATTCATTTTCTCGTCAAAATTTTCATTGTGAAGAAATTGACTGAAAACGAAAAATCGGAATAATATAATCGAAAAAAAAAACAATTTAGGTTACGGTAGTTGTCGGACCTTCGGCCACGGCTACCGGCGTTTCTCTTCCACATCTTCGATTTTTGCATACCAACATAATAAAGATTTAGATTCCTCTGTGGGAAAGAATATGAATTTAAAATGTTTAATTTTCAAAATTTCTGAAATACTCTCGAAAATACTCACAATCAAGAAATCAGATGTCAGACCTTTGAATAATGGACACATACTACTTCATAAAACAAGCAGGCACTTTCAAAAGTCCATGCAGAGTCACCTGACGCTTGCTTCTCTCGCTCAACATGGTTCAGAAGAAGATAGAGAATCATGAAAATTTTTTTCTTCGAAACAAATTGGAAACACCTGTTAACTTGGACGAACGACGACATCCATTTTCTTCTTCTGCGCCGACCTTCTTCTCCGATTTCTCTCCGCCTCTTTCTCCCTTTATCTCACCTTCATCTTCTGTTCCAGAATCGATTCGAAGGCTCTTCCCCTCTCAGAAATATCTGCGTCTCTTCTAGCTCAAGCTCCCTCTCTTGCTCCAAACTCTCTGGTCCCCTCAACACTATTTCTTCCTCTTTTTTCTGTCAATAGTTCGTATCCCACCCGCATTTTCACTTGTCTAATGTCCATTCCCTCCTTTTACTTTCGGGAAAAGAGACCCCCCTCTCGTCCCTCTACACTCAGTTTATGTACAACTCTTTATTTCCTTACATCTGTATTATTTTCCTTTGTTTCAGATATTTTCTCTTTTCTCGTTTCAGATATGCCCAAACTAACAGACAGAAATCGGGATAGAGATCGAGAAAAGAAGAAGAGACGGAGAAGAGACGACAGCTATGATGATTACGAAGAAGAAGGAGGAATATCAGGTGAGAGATAAAACTTTGAGAGATAATGGAGAATGGTAGAGGAATAGTAGGGAAAAATATCAAGGATAGAGACTACTAACTTCATGGAACCTCTCCCAGATTCTTATCTGAAAAATGGATATCCAGAATATTCAGAGTTTTGGTTTTCAAAACTGAAATACTGAAGTGTTCCGGAAAGATAACTGCGACGAACTATCTTAAAAGTAGAATTTTCTAGAATTTTTTTTCAAAGTCTTCGAATTTCCAAACCGTTACATCTATTGGAGAGTTACCGAATATGACCACATTAAAAAAATCGTACTTTAGAAAAATATATTATTTTTGAAAATCGTACTTTTGAAAATGATATCTTCTTAATGAATGTAGATTAGCAGTTAATTCTACTTCCTGAGATACATTGTTCTTGGGTAGAACCTAAAATACCGTATTTCCTTTAATGGAAGCCCACCCCAATTGTTGACTTTGAGCTCAATTATCTCGATTCCTGCGAAAGGTATCGAAAATTTGTCAAATGAAACACTTCTGATATTACGATAATAAGTTATCAGTTTAACTATTATTGATATTTTTCACAGGAAACGAATTGATTGAGCTCAAATTTGGTGGTTTTGGTGGGATTCTATTAGATGAAATACGGCAATCTTACTTCTTGAGATAATTAATTAATTTCGAATTTCTAAATTCAAATTTCAATAGTTTTGTGGAAGTCTGTGAGCCTTGATAATATTTTACACAAAATACATACTGAGAATTTTGGAAAATTATACCTGAAAACGTATATATGGAAACACAAGGGCCTGGAGAATGTGTTTGAAAATATATTCTGAAGTGCTAGAAACATGTAAACGGTTTTAGATTTTCAGAAATCTTATTTCAGACACTGGGAAATGGTATTCCACTTCTCGTATACTGTATCAGACTACCGTTAATCTTGCAGTAGAAAGCCGCAAAACTTTTAACTTTGAGCCAATTTTCTCAGTTTCTGTTAAAAATATCATAAAGTGACCAACTAACAAAATTCTTTCCATACTTTCAAAAATATTTTGTTAGTTAATCGCTTTTTGTTATCTCTTATAGAAATTGAGATAATTGACCTCAAAGTGCAAGTAAAGCATTGGTTTTTATTAGAGCAAATACGGTAGTTAGATAAGTTTTACGACAAAAAGTCACTCTGTATTCTCGAAATTCAATTTAAATTTGGTAAAGAATTCATCAAATAAACTTTTTTTTAAATTAAAATACTGTTTTGGTCTACCGGGCGCTTTTCGTTTGAAGCTTCAGCCACATTTTCCAGCCATTTAATTCTTCAAAAAATCTAACCACGGCAAAATAAATCATCCCAATTTAAGCCGATTAATAGAAAAAGACCCTACGGCTTACTGAATCAAAGTGTCTAAGATAAAAGGGCCAATAAAACTCATTAGAGAGTCACGCATCATAAAATTAACCCTTTTCAGGATGGAAGCTAGGCCTTGTGGTCGGTGTGATTGTCGTTTGCTTTGCAATGCTCTATCCGACACTATTCCATCCGATGCTCATGGGTTTCCTCGGTCGTTCATCTCAACCAGCACCATCGATAAACCAGCAACGACCTCCAATTCATCCGGCAATGGGCGGAGGAGGCGGTCAACGTCATCCGGGTGGTTATCCGTCCCGCCCAGACGTTCATCCAGCGATGCGGATGGCTCAGGCACAAGCAGAAGGACAGTCCGGAGGATCGAAAGGCATGTTCACTTGGATGCTACCGATTTATACTATTGGAGTTGTCTTATTCCTATTGTATACTTTATTCAAATCAAAAGGAAAAAAGGCAAAGAGGAAGAAGAGGAACTATTTCGATTCTGAAGATGATTCGGAGGATTCTGAAATGGAGACAAAGTACGGTGGAAAGTTTGGAAAGAAGAAGTTGAAAGGATTGCAAGAGAGATTGAGACAGACTGAAGATGCGATGTCGAAAATTCTAGAACAATTGGAATCAGTTCAAGCAGGAGCTAATCCAGTGGATTTGGATGCTGCTGATAAGGTAAGAGTATTTGTATTTCGATGAGATACTCTAGAGTAAACACTGAATAAGGTCAGGAAAGATCTCAAATTTCCTTTAGTCATTTGACCTTCTAAACCTCATGTATACTTTTTTCAGTTGGCTCTCGAGTTAGAAGAAGACAAGTCAGCCAAAGAAGCCGTCGGACTTACCGAAACCAATGAACAGTATATTAAGGACCTCGAAGTTGCTCTCAAAGAGTTCCAGTCACTTTCAAAAGCATACGATAAGGAGAAGATGAAGAAACTGAAGCGAAAGGATTCGTCATCTGAGGAAGAAGAAGAAGAAGAAGAAGAGGAGGAGGAGGAAGAGGAAGAGCTATCTGAATTGTCAGAAGTTGAAGAAGAGGAGGAGGAGAAACCAGTGAAAAAAGGGAAGAAAGTTGTGGACCAGAAGAAACCGGCCAAGAAGGCGATTCTTCGTCAGAAGAGCACATCGGAAGAAGAGGAAGAGACAAGAATCGCGGATAAAAAAGCGGAAGAAGAGGAGGAGGAAGGCATCGATATTGATTTTGAGATTCGGGAGCATGCCGAAAGGAATAAGAAGGACAAAAATCTCAGACGACGTCGGCCAAAGAAGACTTAAGCAATTTTTGATATTCGTTTAATTTTTTTCAATTTGCCACTTAACATCCGCCTTTCCTTTAATATGTCAAAATCTCATTGATTCAGCGTGTATTGTTTTCTCAAAAATAGACTTCCAGCAGTATGTTGTCAGCTCGTCTATTTTTCAAAAATAATTTTGACTTCTTCTCAATTGCCTTTTCCTCAGAATCTTGTGTCAACAACCATTTGCCTTTTCATTTCCATTCTGCTTAATAAAATCACTTTGCTTGCCGTTTTGCAATAAATCATTACAGTAAAAAATTCAATTTTATTCCAAAAGTATACAAACACAGTTTGTGAATGGTCGAGGGCTAGAAATCAGAACACAAGAACCCGGGAATGATTACATGGCAATGAGGTAGACACAGACAAGAACAAAGAGGGATGAAACAAAAGAAGTGGCAGAAGAGACTGGAGTCTCAGAAGATGTTGCTGGCTCTTCGGAAGATGTCATTGGAACCTCAGTAGTGGATGGAGTCTCTTCGGCTGAGCTGATAACAGTGGCGGCTTCAATTGGCTTCTCATCGGCTTCTGGCTCTTTGGAGAGAGTCTCTTCAGTTGTGGTCTCCTCGATCTTTGGTTCTTCCATTTTTGGCTCTTCCATCTTTGGCTCCATTGGAGCAGCGACGGATGAGGATTTTTCTGGGGCTTCTCCAGATGCTTCCATGTGATGCTCGTGGTGCTCTTCTTCTCCAGAAGCTTCCTCCTCAAATTGGGCTGGGGTGTCGTCTCCTGGGCTCAACTCGGATGTGGTTCCATCTGGAATAATTGAATAGTTTAGCTAGAAGAAATCCAGGACAGCCAGGCCTTCAATAGTGGTCTCATGTCGTTTAGAAAACCTATAATAGAAGGGTCCCCAAACTTTCAAATTTGACCCAATATATCTTAGTTCCTGTGAAAGGTATCAAAAATGTGTCAACTGATAAAATGTTAGTAATTTTATGATAAACAGTTGACAAATTTCTTATATCTTTTATAAGAGCCGAGATAAATGAGCTCAATGCAAAATGCCATTCTATTACAGGTCTTATGGTATTCAAGACGAACTGAAAAGCATAAAAGTTGAGAAATTAAAAATAGAGAGTTGTTAAAACAAGAATCCTTCTGTAAATTAGTCTTAACCCATCACCCACCCGTTCTATGATCTACTCGACGTTACCTTTGCCAAACTCACCAATGGCTTCTGTTTGTGGCTCTGGTGCTCTTTTGGCTCTCAAATTTGGAACTGCAAAAGCAGAAACTGCAAGAAGAACCAATAGAATCAACGACTTGCTCATTCTGAAAACCTTGAATTTTTCTTTTTCTTGACAAAGAAGACGAAGAATAGAAATGAGAAAGAAATCAAGAGGTAGGCGGAAGAAGAATAAGAAGTTTAAAAAAGTGAATGAGTTATGAAGATATATAAAAAGTATAGAGCCCACATGTGAGAAGTAGAAAAAAGTAGAGAGTTCCTTCTTCTTTCTAAAAAAATGAAAACATTTTTTTGTTCCAAATGTCGGGGCACTGTACAAGAGAGTGACACTGTTGTCAACATTTATCAGGGACTGTGAAGTGATCCCGCCCTTCGAAAGGCCACCGACAAAAAACAGAAGCGAGAGGGGAGGAAAGAGAAAATTACAATTAGCATATTGTTTGGCTGTTAACACTGAATTTCACACATGTTGTAGTTTGGAAAAATGTGATTGCTAATTGGGTAGAACAATGAAATGGTCTTGGGTTACAGCTGGTGGTTTTATGATCTTATGAATGAGGAAGTTTCAGGTTCATTGTAAAAAAACTGAAAATGGGTAGAAAAGGAACTTTGAATCAAGGAGAGACACATTTTGTAGTCACCGTAAAAGCTGTAATAGAAGGGTCTCACGCTATTAAATTTGAGCTCACTTTCAATTATCTCGGTTCCTATGAGAGATATCAAAAATATGTCAACAGTTAAAATATTGGTGATATTATGATAAGAATTTTAATAGTTGACAAATTTTGGTTATCTCTCAAAGAAACTGAGATAATTGAGTTCAAAGTGGAAACATAGTGAAGCCTCCTATTACAGGTGTTACGGTATCATAAAAGATGCAAAGATCGACCAAAACTTTCCAGAAATGCTTTTTTTTTAATTTTCCAATGACGTTCTATCTGAAGAACTAAAGTACTTGCAATACAGTGATCTAAAACCCTAACAGAAATCAGCGTCAGACTTCTAGCTTCCTAGATATATCAGAACCCACTGACTGAATTATGGCTCAACCTGGAGAGTTAACTCCTCATGGTAACCTACCGTAATCTAATAGGACGTTAACTTTGAGCTTATATATCTCGGTTCCTGTGCAAGATATCAAAAAATAGTCAACTGCCAAAATTTTTATTACCATGTAAGCAATATTTTCTCAGTCAATAAATTTTTCATATCTTTTACCGGAACTGAGATAAATTGAGTCAGATGTAAAAGTTAGGGGTGGCATTCTGTTATAATGTTTACAGTAACCTCAAACACGATGTTGAATAATTTTAGAACTATTATAGTTAACGGTCCATTTCAATGAACAAAAAACTATTAGAATTGCTAATGCTGTCCTTAAAAATTGGACAAAAACAGAATTGAATGGTCAGTGGAACACGAAATCACATCTGAAACTGTTTTCGATTTGTGGGCCTTTTAAATGGACGACCCCTCCTGGGGGTAACTCTTGTTTTTTTGTTCTTGGAATTCTCGTTCCTTCGATTCAAGCACAAACACAAAATTGGTACTAAAACAGGTCTTCCTTTGCCCCCTTATTCGCCCTTCTCTCTTTTAAACTATTTTCCCTCCTTTTTTACACTTGTTATCGAAGACTATTGACACGTTATACGTATATGAAAACGACTCGATCAAAAAAAGCGGAGAAGAAGTTGAAAAGGTGAAAAGACAAAAGGTTGAATGAATGGGAACTAGTGGGTAGGTATCTCAAAAAAGAAGATGTCACAGGGGAGGTCGGGAATCTGTAGATATTAATTGGAAGCGACAAATTTGAAGTTTGAATTTTTCGAAATAGTATATGGGATGAAGACACACAGACTTGTCACAGATAACAAGTGCAAAAGAACTTTAAACATTAGATATTAGCAATGTGAGGCAGCTACAGTAACCTGAGAGAACTATATGCACGTCAGACTGCAGAGATATCTATAGAGTTCTACAGTTACATACTTTTTTGAACTTCAGAAGGTTCCAGAAGCCGAGAAACGGGAAATACATCACTTTTCAACAGTTCCATCATGAAATGGTCAGATTTGCAGTCCGGAAAAATGATAATGCTCAAAAAACTGTCAACTTTCCTGGATTGTAGTGAACCGACCAGGTATAGGGGATGGCTTTGAAAAAAAATGAATTAAGGAGAAAATTTTGGAAAAAATGCCAAAATTTTTTCAACATGTACCATTTATACGAAGAAGCGTAAAACCTGTAATAGAACGCCACCCCTAACTTTCAAGTTGACAACTTTTTCATATCTTTAACAGGAATTAAGATAATTGAGCTGAAAGTAAAACGTTTGAGGGCCCTTCTATTGCAAGTTTTACAGTATCCTACAACGACCGAGATACATAATCTGAAAAAAGGTCTGGCTCACTCTAGAGTCTAGATTGAAGAACTTGATTTTTTTGAACTAAAAAGTTAGAAGGTTCTACTTCTAGTCCTTCAGTGCATCAATTGTTCTAGGATCTAATTATCGAGTTTACTCTAATATAAGAGCATCAACTTTAAGCTCAATTATCTCGATTACTGTGAAAGATATCAAATTTCTGTCAACTGATGAAACACTTTTGATGTTATGATGAACAATTTATTAATTGACAAAGTTTTGATACCTTTCGCAGAAATCGAATTGAGCTCAAAGTTTACAGTTTGGATGGGTTTCTATTAGAGGAAATACTGTAACAGTAGGACTAGCTTCCTTTCAGTTTTTTCATTTCTTATCCTAACTCCATTTATTCTAAGTTTTTAAAATATTTTCATCCTAAATCTTAAAAAAAACCATGAGATCGCCAACTTGAATGGTTTGGTCTGCACCCGGAACTTATCTTGAAATACCCCACCCCCATCTTCTTCCTACTTTATCGAAACACAATACGGGATATGGTTAAAAAAGTAAAACAACCGGTTCCCGATCAAGGTTGTTGCTCTGAATGTTTGCGAGAAGATGCCAAGGCAGAAAGTTTTGGAGAATCGGGGAAGAGGAAACATGTTATAAGGAGAAGAATTAGTAATAGTTGACAGATATTTGACGTGGCAAGAAGGAAATTGAGTAGGTGTACAGAAGAAGAAGAAGACGATGGCAATGGTCAATGGTTCGTGAGATCGAGAAAAAAGAATTAGGTACGAATAAGTTGTCGGGGGGGACATAACTTTTTAAATGCAAATCTTGGCAAATGATGTGTGCTAGAAGTGGCATGGATACCTAAACGGAAGCTTAGTGTGATCAAGAGGCTTACTGTATTTTAACTTTGATCCCGTATATCTCAGCTCCTGGAAAAGATATCAAAAAATGGTCAACTGACAAAATGTTTCTCATAACATCAAAAACATTTTATTACTATTGATTACTTTTTGATATCTTTCACAGGAACTGAGATATATAGGTTCAAAATAGGTGACCTTCTTTCAGAGTGTTTACGGCACCTACGACCTAAATTCTTAAGAAATATTTACTGAAAATATACACACTGGTTCACAAATTTCAATAGTATAGTAAAAAACACATTTTCACAGAATATATCATTCGAGGAACGCATATATAAAAATTTTATATGAGTCACCGTTGTTATTCATATACTATCACGAGGGTTTTGATATTTGGCCCCTGTGTTCAGATAAAAAAAGATCCAGAAAAAACAGAGAGAGAGCTGATATGCTTATTTCAAGGCTCATGTTCCTTTTACAAGATACGGTGCAGTTCATATACAAATTACCGTATTTGCCGACCATACCCAATCGTCAACTTTGAACTCAATTATCTCGGTCCATATGAGAGATATAAAAATTTTGCTAACCGATAAATTATTTCTCATAATATCACCAATATTTTGTCAGTTGACAGCTTTTCGATATCTCTCACAGGAATTGAGATAATTAAGCTCAAGGATGAGTGGGCTCATACGGTACAGTAGCACATAAAACTAGAAAGTTCAATTCTGAAAGCGGAAGCTAGACCAAATGTTTCATTAGCCTAGACTCATTTCTTTTTCTCTGTTGAGCTTTCAGTAAAACTACAGTACTCCTAGTTATGCTACAAGTCTGATACCGTAGTCCAAGAATCGGTGAACACCCTTATCAGATAGGAAGTTCACATTTTTTGAAACATATCTCTTTTTTCTTCTCGGGACATCGATCACCAGCTAATCAAATTAGGACAATGCAGAATAACTAGGCGTATCCCGGACGAAAAAAAACGAGAGAACTCACCTGATTCTTCTTTTCCGATTCTTCTGTGATGCGCGAAAAGAGACAGACACACGTGTTTTTCCTGAAACCCTATACCTCCCCCCTTCTGTATTCCTCTCCCATCTGATTGTTCAGGAAGAGGTGTTCAGTATTATAAACAATGGAAGAAAAGAAAAATAATGGGCGATAATAAAAAAAAGAAAGAGTTCGAGAAAGCGATGACAGCGTTGTTGGCTGGTGTTACAGTAAAAAGGGGGCGGAACATGAATGTATATAATCTCAGATGCCGATCTCTTTCGTTTTGGTTGTCTTCTCTCTCGGTACAATACTGAAAGAATAAGGAAAATAAGTGGAAGTTTTTTTTTCTTATTTCGTTGAGAAGAAGAAGAAAGAAAATCAAGAAAAAACAATGGAATACGGCCAGAGTGTGAAAGGACTAAAGAACTACATTATATGCACTATTTACCGTAACATTTTATACATATGCTTTGAGCTCAATTATCTAGGTTCCTGTAAAAGATATCAAAATTTGGTCAAATGGTAAAATATGTTTGATATTATTATAAACATTTTGTCAGCTGATTACTTTTCGATATCTTTCACAGGAATCGAGATAAATGGGCTCAAAGTTGATGGTTTGGGTGATACTCTTTGAGAGTTTTTCAGGGTAGTAAAATCCTGACCATCGCATTTGGAATAATGTCAAAAATGTATTAGTAGACCAGCTCCAGGTAAAACCCTCACAATCTGACTCCCATATTAACATCTGAACGGTTGAAAAATGAGCTTGCTACTCAACCCGATTACCGTAGTTCCCCTGATAGAAGCCCATCCCAAAGCGTCAACTTTGATCTCAATTATCTCGATTTCTGTGAAAGATTCAAAAAATGTCAACTGATAAATTGCTTATTTTCAGAAGTGCTTTGTCAGTTGGTAAGTTTTTGATATCTTTCACAGGAATCGAGATAATTGAGATCAAAGTTGACGCTTTGGGATGGGCTTCCATCAGGGGAA